CCCCCCCCCTGCAATGGCACGGCCCACAGTTTGGGAACCTCTGGGCTAAGCTGCAGTAAAAAGTCTACTCTAAAAGGCACATGGTGGAGGTGCTGCTTTTTCTTTCAACAGATGTCTGCCCCCCTCTTTTTGAGGATGTGGTTTTACCCAGTCACAGAGGTTGCCTGGGGTTGCAGTGGGATGTGACTGCACTCACGTACGGTCTTTGTCTGAGCCATTGATGTTGGTATAGCAACTCTGTCTGGAATCCGCTGTCTTGATTCATCTGTAGTTAGGATGTGATGAGTAAGCCAACGTTAAACCTCTGGTGTGCCTGATTAATGCGTAAGATTTTCCTCTCGGAGGCATTCGTTTGCTTTTACACCACCTCCTAAAAATTGACTTCTAGGTGCTACCACGTTTGCATACAGTAGTCTTGACGCAGGCAAGTTGCTAAGTAAAACTGATTTATAATTTCATTTGCTGGTTGACATTGGAAAAGGAAGCCATTTTCTCTCTGTGGCACATGTTGATGGCTGCCACTTACCATCTGGTGTTGATCTGAAGGAGGAACAGACTCTGATCATGAGGACCAGCAAATACCAGATGAAGGGGTTGTTGCCTAAAGCATCAGTTTTTCTGCTTGTTGTTCACCAAGTGAGAGTGGATTGCATGCATAATTTAGTAATGAAGAACTCAAGCTTTCCATTGACTGCTATAGAGGGTGAAGGAAAAGTTGGCATCGAGGAGGTAATACACCAATGATGATATTGGTGACGCCACGTGTATACCTAAAATTATACGATTTCCATTATGTTAGATGTTATATTCAAGTAGCTATGTAGAGAGAATATTGTTTTAAGAAGGTAATGGTTTTACAAATGCTGGTTTTTAATCTTATTTTTCTACTCTAATCCACTGACTTTTCATAAGACAATCTTTATATAAATTAATGCCACTTTGGAACTATTTTATTTCCTAAAATATGATTTAGTACACATTCACATGGCCTCATGGTGAGTGAAGTGATTCATAATATAGCTGTCAGCCTAACACTGGCTGGTTAGTGAAGCAAATCTGAACTGGTGAGCTGTTTCAGCAGTTATGCAACCACATTTGGAGGGGAGATGCATTCTTCATTCATATACAATACTGTTGCACTCTGCTCAGATAGACCTCGACTGTTAGTTTACATTTTTTTTTATTTCTTTGTTTTTCTTTAAATAAATAAAAAAAAGAAGAAATTAGTCTTTATGAGATGGATTCAGCAGACTCATTAGAATGTCACTAACAGATTGAAGGGGGGTGGAGGTTGTGGGCAACTGTTGGGATTTTACATAACCTCATTTCTGGTCTGCATTAAGTATCATTCTTAAAACTAGGAAATTCCACAGTTGTAGCTTTATGACTGTGTTGTTCATTGGCCCAGATGACTCAGAAGGGTTGGTGGGTGGGTGTGGACAAGCTCTACAACGTGGTGCAGAGGACCAGTGTACTGTTTTATGTGGAATATGTTTGGGGTATTGGTCTTGGCATTTCAGAGATCAACAAAGCAATCCAGAAATAGTTGGGAGGTTATCTACTGTTCATTTTGTCCACTGCTTGTGCAACCCCAAAACTAAGAGGAACTTAAGAAAAAGCAGTCTTGCGTAAAAACCTGTGTTCACAGTAAAATGTACTTGCACAGAATTGCACTGTGTGAATTTCATAAGTCTAATCTTAAATTTCCACCTTTTATCCCTTCAACTTTCACGACTGAGATAACAGAATGTTGACAATAAAAATGCTACCTTGGGAGTTTTGGACCTAGGTTTTATTTTTTTCTGAAATGGTTGCTTTCTGTTTGTTGGGTGCATTCTGTGTAATAGAAGAATAAGCCAATTGGTAGTTTCCCAAAATTCTCCTCACCTTCAAGTAAGGTGAAGAGACAAAATCAGTTTCTGCACATTAACAAGGACACAGAACATTTAGATTTTTCCATCTATAAAGCAGCTGGTAATTTGCTCAGATACTTTCTGCTTAATTACTTTGTAAAAGGGTGAAAAATGGTGAGTGTGGTAACCTTTTAGTTGCTGTGTTTGAAAATCTTTCTTCCCTATTTTTTTTTTCCTTTTTGCATGCAGTACTTGTCCAACTGTAAAAGGGATCGCCATGCCTCTGCCAAAAGACATGGGCTCTGCCTTCATCCAGACACAGCAGCTCAACGCTGCCATGGCCGACACCTTCCTGGAACACATGTGCCTGTTGGACATCGACTCCGAACCCACCACAGCCCGCAACACCGGCATCATCTGCACCATTGGTTAGTCGATTCTTTCCAGTTGCAGTCCCTTAAATCAAATTTTAATAGTTTCCTGTTAAAATATTATGGTGATACAAAATTGCTATAGACAAAATCCTTAACCGTGTTTGGCTTCTTCCTGATGTGCTCACGGAAGTATAACATTTGAAAAACTCTGTGATAAGAAATTTCTATGAAGCTCAAGATTTTAAATGTTGTCCAATGTGTAAAAAAAAAATCATTTTCGTTTTGCAGGACCAGCATCCAGATCTGTGGATATTCTTAAGGAGATGATCAAGTCAGGAATGAACATTGCTCGTTTGAACTTTTCCCATGGTACACATGAGGTTGGTGCTTTTTTTTTAAAAAATGTGGTTTAATTTACTTTATAAATCTAATCACACACAGTTCTCTGCTTTATCTCAACTGGTACATTGAGCTTAGAGGTAATATTTGTCATCATTTGTAGTTTCCTGGTATTGTGAAATCTGACGCTGACAGTGAATTGGCACATATTGTGTAATAAACTGTTTTAGACTAGAATCCTACTAAGCAATCACAAAATGGTTTAATGAACAGACGAAATAGTTGATGTTATTGCTGAGTAATCCCACACTTTTATTTCAATACCTTATCAATAATTTTAAAATGTCTGTCTTAAGTGATGGGGAGATTTAAAAAACTGCAGCTGAATTATGCGCCTCTATTTTAGACACAAAGGGACACATGACCTTACAAAAGGCTAAAATTTTCTTGATAACAGGAACAAAGACATTTTGAAATCAACTTGATGCAACGAATAATGAAACTTGACCAGCAAACTTGAATTAAATTGAGTAAGAGAAGCTTTCCATTGACTGCTATAGAGGGTGAAGGAAAAGTTGGCAATAAAATAGTTGATATAAACATAACCTCATCCACAATTTACTCCCCATTTTCCTTTCTTCAGAGGACACTTGAAGAATCTTACCCAGAAGGCATCATGTTTAATTTGTTTTTAAACCATTGCTGAAATACTTTGTTTGCTCTTTACCAACTAAAAGTAACACTTTTGTCATCCACACATTCCTTGATATTTGCAGGAACTGCTCTTTTGACCTTTTTTATTCTGTTGTCTTTAACTACAGGCCTTGAGGCAACAGGCAAGGCCACACTTAGTGTTTTGAGCTATGAAGTTTTTTACCAAAGTCTCAAACTTCAATTGGCTTTAAAGGGCAAATGTCTGTACACATTAAACTTTATTTAGAGATTGATGGTTCACGCTAAAGTTTTCCTGAATATATCTCAAATTTCATTTCAATGCAGCCAACGAACTAAACGACTAAAAGCAACTAAATTGTGCCACTAAAGCTAAAGAATGATCTCAGGCTGTAGGCAGGAAGTTGATTTCTAGTAGTGCTCAGCATTATTTGTAATCACAAGAAATGTTATTTAAGCTCAAATGGAAAAGACCAGAAAAACAACCTCAAATGTAATTATCTGCCAGTTGCATTGTTACTGGAAGCTCAGGTTACAGAGGTAGACAGCAGACATCTGTCTTTAAAGCCATAAACGCTGCACTACCTGTTAATTAATCCCCCTAATGGTTGTAAAACACAACTACCGTGTCTCTTTCTTCCCACTTTCCCACAGCTTGGTTGAGAGTCACAGTGGGTGTCATTCTAACTGCAACATTTTATAGACCAGTGTGATTTTTTTTTT